CAAAGCTTCCTCACGGCCATCAGATTCTAAGCTCCAAATCTGACTCTGACCTTGGGCTGGTCACTTAACTTGCAGAGAGAACAGATAATATATGTAAAGAATTTACAGATGAATGATGACATTGAAACTGCAGTAAATCTATTATTCTATGTCACAAAAATGCCAGACACTGCATTTGGGTGAAAGCAATCCTTCGAGAGCATTGGCCTACTCAAAGGCGACTACTTTAAACAATGTTCTGGGGAGATCTAAGATGACAGAGGAACAAGGGAAAGCTACACTAACATCCTCCCAGGACCAATCTGGAATTACAACTAAACTGTAGAGAAGTCATCCTGAATAACCAACTGAACAGTAGCTGGAGAGAAGCCTTATAACCAAGGACAGACAGAAGAAACTGCTTCACCACAAATCTGGTAAGGAGTGCAGAGGAGGCATGAGAGGACTGGCTGGATTCCCTCAGGTGGCAGCTGAAGTTCCAGAGAGATGTTTCAGCAGCCGGGGGTTCCCCCTAAGAAGTGTGGGGTCTAAAGGCCAAGCTGAGCTCCCAGGTCTACAGCAACAGAGCCAGAAAGGAACCCAGATAACATCCAGCTGTGAAAAGCAGCAGGGTTTCTGTCTGCTAGGGAGAAATGGCTGAAGATGCAGAGCCTCTTAAAGGGGCAACACACAAAATTTTGTCTGCGGACACTTACCCTGGGCTCCAGCAGATGGAGGGCAGAGTAGACTAGAGACACTTGAAAGCAGTCTGGGGCTGGTGATTGTGGGGAGAAAACTGAAGGAACAGCTACCAGAACCCCTGTGCTGAGTCATTAGCCATAATGCAGAAGCAGTCTTTCTCAGGCAGAGGACTCCTCTCCAAATGGCATCAGCCTGAGGGGAAGCAATAGCCCCACCCCCAGGAATTTCTCTGCCCCACCCTATGGTGCTTAAACTGGGCTGCTGATTACAGCTTGATTAGATTAACAACTGATTGGTTTAAAGGTTGATTAGTATAGCAGCTGGAGTAAAAAATACAAAGCAGGGAAAATAGGAAGACAAAGAAACATACACCAGATAAAAGAACTAGAGAATTCTCGAAGAACTAGATGAAATGGAAGCACAAGAGGGCTGACTGGACTCCCTCAGACAGAGAGCTTAGAGTAATGATTATAAGTATACACAAAAGCATGAAAAAAGACATAGAAACCATAAAAACATGAACTGTCAGAAATAATTCTATATCAGAAATAATTATTACACTGGAAGTAATAAACAGGAGGCTAGATGAGGCAGAGAATCAAATCAATGTTTTGGAAGACAAGGTAGAAAACCACACCCAGACAGAACAGCAAAAAGAAAAAAGAATATTAAAAAATGAGGAGAGCTTAAGACACATTTTGGACAACATAAAGCATAACAACATCCGTGTCACCTACTTACTTGCAGAAACAGCCTGGCTGGTGTGGCTCAGTGGATTGAATGCCAGCCTGCAAACCAAAGGTTGCTGTTTTGATTCCCAGTCAGGGCACATGCCTGGGTTGTGGATCAGGTCCCCAGTAGGGGGCGAACAAGAGGCAACCACATATTGATGTTTCTCTCTCTCCCTCCCTTACCCTCTCTAAAAAAAAAATAAGTAAATAAAATCTTTAAGAAAAGAAACGATGACCCAAAACTTCCATAATCTAGTGAAAGAAAAAGTCGCACATTCTCAGGAAGCTGAAGACCCAAAGAGGCCTACACCAAGACACAATACAATTAAAAGGACAAGGCTTAAAAACAAGAGAGAATACAAAGAGCTGCAAGAATAAAGCAGGCAGTAACCTACAAGGAAGCACCAATTAGACTGGCATCTGATTTCTCAGCAGAAACAGTTCAGGCCAAAAGGGAGTGGCATGAAATATTCAAGGTGATGAAAAGCAAGGACCTATAACCAATGCTACTTTACCCAGCAAGGCTATCATTTGAAGTTGAAGGAAAAATAATGAGCTTCCCAGACAAGAATAAGCTAAAGGAGTTTGTTAGCAACAAACCAGCACTGCAACAAATGTTAAAGGGCTTGCTTTAAGAAGAAGAAAAAGAAAAAAAGGGGGGAAAAAGAGGAAAATAGCCTAACAGTAAAAAGGCATTATATATGTATCTGTCCATAATCACCTTAAATGTAAATGGCTTAAATGCTCTGACCAAAACACAGAGTGTGACTGAATGGATAAGAAAATAATACCCATATATATACTTCCTCCTAGAGACCCATCTGAGATCCAAAGATACACATGGATTAAAAGTAAGGAGTTGGACGAGATATTTCATGCAAATGGAAAAGAAAATAAAGCTGCAGTAGCAGTACTTACATCACACAAAATAGACTTTAAAACCAAGACCATTGTAAGAGACAAAAAAGGACACTACATAATGATAAAGGGCACAATCCAATGAGACAATATAACCCTAGTCAACACTTACGAAACCAACACAGGAGTTCCTAAATATGTAAAGCAAATCTTAGTGGACATAAAGGGTAGATCAACAGAAATACAGTCATAGTTGGGGATCTTAACACCCCTTTGACTTCAATAAGGAGATCTTCCAGGCAGAAAATCAACAAAGAGACAGTGACCTTAAACAACACACTAGATCAAATGGATTTCATTGATATCTTCAGAACATTTCACCCCAAAGCACCAGAATATACATATCTTTCCAGTGCTCATGGAGTGTTTTGTAGGACAGATCACATGTTAAGACACAAAACAAAGCTCAGTAAATTTAAGAAGATTGAAATCATATCAAACATCTTCTCTGACATCATTTCTGTTGAGAAATCAATCAACAGAATAACACTGAAAAATATGCAAAGACATGAAATCTAAATAATATGTTATTAAACAATGAATGGATCAACAATGGGATCAAGGAGAAAATCAAAAGATTCCTTGAAATAAATTAAAATGAGGACACAACAATCCAAAATCTGTGGAACACTAGGAAAGCAAATAAGTAGAAAATATATAGTATTACAGGCCTATCTCAAAAATAAGAAAAAGCTCAAATAAAGTATCTAACTTCATAATTAAAGGAACTTGAAAAGTACAACAAAGACTAAAGAGAGTAGAAGGAAAGAAATAATAAAGATCAGAGAAGAAATTTAAAAAAATAGTCTAAAAGACAATACTAAAGATCAATGAATCCAGCCAGTTCTTTGAAAAAATAAACAAGATTGACAAACATTTAACTAGACTCATCAAGAAAGAAAAAGACCCAAATAAATAAAATTAGAAATAAAAGAGGAGAAATAACAACTGACACTAAAGAAATACAAGTGCTTGTAAGAAAATATTATGAACCATTATATGCCAAATAAACCTAGAGGAAACCTAGACAACCTAGATGAAATGAAGGAATTCTTAGAAAGATACAATCTCCCAAAAATAAATCAAGAAGAATCAGATAATCTGAATAGACAGGTTACACCTAATGAAAAAGAAACAGTAATCAAAAAAAAGTCGCAAAAAATAAAAGTCCTGGACAAGATGGCTTCACAAGTGAATTTAACCAAACATTCTGAGAACTAACATTTCTCTTTCTCAAACTATTTCATAAAATTCAAGAGGAGAGAAGGCTCCCAAACTTATTTTACAAACCCAGCATTTTCCTAAATCCAAAACCAGATAAAGATACAGCAAAGAAAGAAAATTATAGACCAATATTACTAATGAACACAGATGCTGAAATCCTCAAGAAAAGTACCAAACCAAATACAACAATGCATCAAAAAGATCATACACCATGATGAAGTGGGATTTATTCTGGGAATGTAAGGTTGGTACAACATCTGCAAATCAAAAAATGTGATTCACTAAATTAAAAAAATGAAGGATAAAAACCACCTAATCATATCAATAGATGCAGAGAGAGCTTTTGATAAAACCCAGCATCCATTTATGATAAAAGCTCTCAGCAAAGTGGGATTAGAGGGAACATACCCAAACATAATAAAGGCCATATATGACAAACCCACTGCCAGCATCATACTCAAAGAGCAAAACCTACAGTGTTCCCCTTAAGGTCAGGAACAAGACAGGGATATCTGCTTTCCCCTCTCTTATTCAACATAGTACTGGAAGTCCAAGCCACAGCAATCAGACTAGGTGAAGAATTAAAAGGCATCTAAATTGGAAAGGAAGAAGTAAAACTGTCTTTATTTGTAGATAACATGCTACTGTACTTAGAGAACCCCAAAGATTACACCAAGAAACTGCTAGAACTTATAAATGAATCCAGAAAAGTAGCAGGATACAAAATTCATAACCAGATATCAGTTTCATCCTTACATGCAATAACGAACTAACAGAAAAGGAAAATAAAAAAATAATCCCATTCTTGCTTCAGAAAGAATAAAATACCTAGGAATAAACCTAACCAAAAATGTAAAAGACCTGCACTCAGAAAATTATAAGACACTTAAGAAAGAAGTTGAAGAAGATACAAATAAGTGGAAGCACATACCATGTTCATAGATTGGAAGAATTAACATCATTAAAATGTCCATACTACCTAAAGCAATCTATAGGTTAAATGCCATTCCTACCAAGATTCCAATGACATATTTCACAGAACTAGAACAAATATTTCAAAAATTTATATGGAAACACAAAAGGCCCCACATAGCAACAGGTGACCCTGAGAAAGAAGAACAAAGTTGGAGGAATCATGTTACCTAATACCAAACTATACTATAAGGCCATAGAAATCAAAACAGCTTGATACTGGCATAGAAACAGACACGTAAGTCAAAGTTATAGAATAGAGAGCCCAGAAATAAACTCACACCTTTATAGTCAATTAATATTCAACAGAGGAAGCAAGCACATACAATGGGCTAAAGATAGTTTACTCAATAAATGGTGTTGGGAAAACTAGACAGACATGGTCTGAAAAATTAAACTAGACCACCTTCTTACACCACACACAAGAATATATTCAAAATACATCAGAGTCGTTGCTGCTACGATGGGACGACTATGGCAACTCAGGAAGCTACTCCAGGCAGCCAGTCAGAGAACAGTGCTTTGGAACTGCCGTCTGCTCGTGACATAAGAGATTACGTGCTGCAAGAAGCCAGCCTGGAGGCCCCCAGCAAAGCTGTTAGTTCTGTAGAAGCCCTTTCTATTCCTTCCTCTTCTGAGGTGGACCCAGAATTAAAATAAAAAATAAATCTGAGGCAGACTTCCGGCAAGACGGAGGAATAGGTGGATGCACTGTACCTCCTCACACAACCAAGATTAGAACAACAATAATTTACAGATAGAATATCACTCAGAACTGATAGAGGATTTATCTGAATGGAAGTCAGACAGCCAAGAAGTTGAAGTAGACCTGTACATCCAGACCGGTAGGAGACGACGAGCTGGGCGGGCACAGGGCTGGCGCGGGTCGGCGGCAGAGGTCGGGGAAAATTTGGCGCAAAATCGGCGGGACAGCCATCCGGGGCGCAAGAACACAGCAGTGATCCCTGAGTACGCAAGCTGTGGCTGGCGGACCCAGTGAGGCAGCGATTGTGGACCAGGGCAGAGTTCGCAGCCCAGGATCCCAGAGAAGGGTCTGAGCCCAGGAGAACGGAACTACCGCCATTGTTCCCTCCCGTCCCCGCTCCTGCCCCCACATATAACATCACAATCTAGCGACTGGGGTGCCCAGCCCCCATGAACAACTAAGGCTCCCCCCACCACCGTAACAAGAGCAACCAGATTGGGGAAAAAAAAAAAAGGAGAGACAGGAAAAGACATAAGACATGTTTCCAACACAACAGATCAGTCCCCCAGGACTCATCCTTTTGAGCGACCAAGAAATAGCGAATCTATCAGATGCACAGTTCAAAACACTGGTGATCAGAAAGCTCATGGGATTGGTTGATTTTGGGCACAATTTAGATGAAAGGATGCAGGTTACCATAAAAGAGATGCAGGAAGATACGTGGAGGAGAGCCAATAGTGAAAGGAAGGAATCTGAGTCTCAAAACAATACAGTGGACCAGAAGGAAGATAGAATCAACCAAGCAGGAAAGCATGATGAAATAAGAATTCAAAAAAATAGAGGAAAAGCTTAAGAGCATCCAGGACACCTTTAAACATTCCAACATCCGAATTATAGGGGTACCAGAATGGGAAGGGGAAAAGCAACAAATTGAGCACGTATTTGAACAAATAATAAAGGAGAACTTCCCCAATCTGGCAAAGGAAACAGTCTTCCAAGAAGTCGAAGAAGCTCAGAGAGCCCCAAAGAAGTTGGACCCAAGAAGAAACACACCAAGGCACATCAGAATTACATTAGCCAAGGTAAAAACGAAGGAGAGAATCCTAGAAGCAGCAAGAGATAAGGGGACAGTAACCTACAAAGGAGTTCCCATCAGACCGTCAGCTGATTTCTCCAAAGAGACCTTACAGGCAAGAAGGGGCTGGAAAGAAATATTCCAAGTCATGAAAGACAAGGACCTATATCCCAGATTGCTCTATCCAGCAAAGCTCTCATTTAGAATGGAAGGGAAGATAAAATACTTCTCAGATAAGGTCAAGTTAAAGGAGTTCATCATCACCAAGCCCTTATTTTATGAAATGCTAAAGGGACTTATCTAAGAAAAGAAGATAAAGAAAAGACATGTATAGTAAAAGGACAGCAAACTCACAATTATTAACAACCACACCTAAAACAAAACCAAAAGAAACTAAGTAAACAACTAGAACAGGAACAGAACCACAGAAATGGAGGGCACATGGAGGGCTAGCAGCAGGGGGGGGGGTGGGAGGAGGAGAGGGGGGAAAGGGTATAGAGAATAAGTAGCATAGAATGTAGGTTGAAAATAGATAGGGGGAGGGCAAGAATAGTACGGGAAATGTAGAAGCTAAAGAACTCATAAGTATGACACATGGACATGAACTAAAGGGGGGGGAATGTGGGTGGGAGAGGAGGTACAGGGTGGAGGGGAGAGAGGGGGGGAAATGGGACAACTGTAATAGCATAATCAATAAAATATATTTTTTTAAAAAAGAATATATTCAAAATACATCAAAGACTTAAATGTTAGACTCAAAACCATAAAAATCCTAAAAGAAAACATATGCAGCAAAATCTCAGACATTGCTCATAGCAATTGTTTATCAGATATATCTCCCCAGGCAACAGGAACAAAAGAAAAAATAAACCAATGGGACTACATCAAACTAAAAATTTTTTGCACAGCAAACAAAATCATCAACAAAATAAAAAGACAACCCACAGAATGGGAGAAGATATCTGCCAGTATATCTGATAAGGGGTTAATATCTAAAGTTTATAAAGAACTCACAAAACTCAACCCCATAAAAACCAAACAACCCAATTAAAAAATGAGCAAAGGATCTGAATAGACACCCCTCTAAAGAGGACATGCAGATGGCCAATAGATGTATGAAAAGATACTCAATGTCACTAATCATCAGAGAAATACACATTAAAACCACAATGAGATATCATCTCACACCTGTCAGAATGGCTGTCATCAATAAATCCACAAAGTAGTACTGGCGAGGATGTGGAAGAAGCAGAACCCTCACGCACTGTTGGTGGGGGTGCAGGTTGGTGCAGCCACTGTTGGTGCAGCCACTCCATACTTCCACTGAAGCAGTATGGGGATATCTCAAAAAATTAAAAATGGATCTGTTTTTTGACCCAGTGATCCCACTTCTGCGAATATATCCACAGGAACCCAAAACACTAATTTAAAAAAACACAAGCACTCCTATGTTCATTGCAGCATTATTTATAACTACCAAGGTATGGAATTGGCCCAAGTGTCTATCAGTAGATAAGTGGATAAAACAACTATGGTATATTTACACAATGGAATTCTACTTGACCATAAAAAAAGAAGAAAAATTTACCCTTTGCAGCAGTATGAATAGACCTGGAGAATATTATGCTAAGTTAAATAAACCAGTCAGAGAAAGACAAATATTATATTATTTCACTCATGTGTGGAATCTAACAAACAGAACTAACAAGCAAAATGGAGACAGACTCATGGTTGGGGAGCAGATGACAGCTGGTGCAGTGGGGAGGTTAGGGGTTCAAAGGGATTGAGGAAAAAGGAAAAAGGAAGGACTCATGGACATGGACAATAGTGTAATGATTGCTGGGGGAAGGGAGGTATAAGGGACTAAATGGTAATGGAAAAATACAATAAACATGAAAAAAACAAAAGAATGTTCTGAGTGTGCTTTAAATTATGGTCTATTTATATTTTTTACCAATGAACCAAAAACTAAAAATCACCTTAGGAGGAGGGAGCTAGATATGTAACATGGAACAACCCTGCTTTGCTGTCTCTGTGAGGAAAATGAAATATGAGCATCATGATGAAATTAAGTTGATTTATTCCTATCACATCTAATAGGACTACTTGAGGAACCATCATAAAGTGTCAGCAAATAAAGATTCCTACTTCAATGGTAAATAAATATTTGTCACAATGTTATTAAATGTTCAAGACTAGACTCTGAGAGCATAATAAATTATTGCAGATCTTAAACTTTGAGCCCAGAGAATACTTAAAGAAATACATTCTTTTAGAAGAAGATTTAACAGAATCTGTTGTATTCATTGTGACTTCCTTAAAAATTTAGTCAACAAATGCTTCTTAACTGTTTTCTAAGTACCTCATTAGCATGGACAGTGAAATTCAAAATTCATCAACACCTTAGATTTAACAACAACTAATATACGAGCATCTTTTAATATTATTTTTATGACTTTTATTTTCATAAATATCTCGTTATTGAAAAATACACAATTTTTTACTAGAAAATTAATTTAAAATACTTATCTCAAAAAAATTTTAAAGCACCAAAATTAGCTCAGAAGAAGAAATCAGGATAAACTGCTGAAAAACATGTAAAAGATTAGGCAGGATCACTTAACCTATCAAAGTAATTATGGAATTGGGTTAATATCCAAAATTTATAAAGAAATTATGAAACTCAACACCAGAAAAAAATACCAGAAAGATAAACACCATAAGATTTCACTCATGTGTAAAATTTAATGAACAAACTAAACTAAAGAGCAAAACAGAGACAGACTCATAGATAGAGAGTAGGCTGACAGCTGTTGAAAATTCCTTAAGTCTCAAGGGTTGGGGGGGGTTGGGCGCTGAGTAGGGGCAGCTGGAGGGATTAAACAAAAAAAGAAAAAAAAAAGAAGAAACTCATGGACACTGACAACTGTGTGGTGATTGCCTGGGGGAGGAGAATGGGGCAGGAGGTGGAGGGTATAGAGGGATAAATGATGGAAGGATACTGGGCTTGGGATGGTGAACACACAATACAGTGTGCAGAGGATGTGTTGCAGAGTTGTGCACCTGAAAACTATAATTTTGTTAACCAGTGTCACCCCAATAAATTCAATTCAAATAAGAAACAAAATTATTTATTATTGATGCCATTAATGTGTCAGACCCATTAGTTAAAAATAGATAAGTAAAACAATCCCTTTATCTTTAAAATTTATAGAATGAAAATCTTTTTCTTTCAAATTCCTCAACAAATACCAAACCTTCCAAGTCACAGAATTCCAATAGTCTTTTTGTTTTTGTATTTTTTCCATTACCATTTAATCCCCTTATACCACACTCCCCCCAGCAATCACCACACTGGTGTCCATGTCCATGAGTCCTTACTTCTTTTTGCTCAGTCCCTCCAGTCTACAGTCTATTACCTTCATAGGACTCATAAGTGTCTTGTTTGGTTTGCAGCCCATGCTCAATCCATTGAGCTACACCAGCCAGGGCTATTAAGAGATAATATGCTTGACTCATACAAATCTTGCATTCCTTAAATGGGGTCTCAGATTACCATTATTGGTGAATAATTATAATCACCATAGATATATAATATTCTTAGCATTGTGTGGTTGACAAATAGAATTATAAATAGGAATCTGCCTGTTACTCTCATTGGGCCACAGTAGCAACATGCATATTAGATGCAAAATGTCCATGTTTGGGGATCTTTACAAATCACCATGTAGCTCCAACTGCATCTCTGACTTTATTATACAGACTGAACTTGGTTCAAACTAATGTCAAATCCACAGATACTTGTTATACTTTTGCTTTGTGTAAAGACAACATCCAGAGCTGTCCTCCTTGGCAGCTTGCAGTCCACTTGTGAGGACC